AATATAAATAAATAAAATAAAGAAATATAAGATATATAATTGATTATTAATGTTAATTAATTATTAATGAAAAAGAAGGTTCCGGCGTCTTATAGGTCTTCATGTAACTTTACTTCTAAGATATCTGCCATTTTTCAGATATCTGGCATATATGATATTTCTGGCATATCGCACATAACCTGCCTGCCAGAACTGGCAGATATAGCAGATACTTGGCATAGTAGATCAGGTGATTTATTCTATCGTCGTATGATTTGCAGTTGACTCTTCTATTACAATATTCCCCTCCTTTAAAAATGAACTCCAGTGAATTAATTCATTGAGGTTGTTTAGTTTTAATCCTGCAAGTAGAACTGTAGTTGTGCACTGAGTTCTCATTATTTGCTCAAGATTGTCTTCAAATATAAGAAATACTCACTTTGATACGATAAAATAATGTTTAGATAACTTAGAATCTTTTTGAGTCATACATTCTGTATCAATTATTTGTCTCATATGATAAAAATAAAATAATGATTCTCTTCTATTCTTCAATGTTATTTGTCATCGAGCATATTGGAAGAGTATTTTTATCTTTGTATCTGCATCCTGAGAGAATATCGTTGGTAAAGGTAGTAATGTTATTGTTATTGGGGTTACTGCTAATAAATCAGAATATATGGGGTGAGTGCTGGGAAAAGGGACCAAATCGACAAAAAATTTTTTTTTGAAATAACAAATGATCTGAATCAGATGACCAAATCTACATCTATTTTACTTAGAAACTTTTTTTTAAAAAAAAAATCAATTTGGTCCATTTTCCCAGCACTTACCCCATATAAGCGGTATGCTTGCGCTATTTCTTATAAAATGGAATTCTTTTTCACTAATATTCTCTATATATATAACTAAATCAATTACTAATAAATAATGTAAAATAACAAAAGTATTACAAAATAAAACTAAAATAGTAATAATCATCCTAACACTAATTTATGTAATAACTTTCATTAGTTCTATCTACTGTTCGTTATATTGCTTTAAGCGATCACCATGTATGGTTCCTTTGACTATTCGTCCTTCAATGGATCTTAATTTGTAGTTATTAAATCCAACTATATCATGAATGTAATATGGTCTCATCCATTGCGACTCTAATTTTGCGGACATATCTCGTCGTTTCCATGTTTTCTCTACTAGAACCTTTTCGTCTATTTATAACCTTTCTGAAACTCGGTGATCATTGTATCGATTTTTTTGTCATTCTTGTATCTGATTCATATTATCAAGTGCATCTTGTTTATTTGATTCGAGCTTATTAATCAATATTATTAATCTATCTAACAAAGCATTAATCATCTATTGCTTCATCATTGGTGCTGACTAAATTTATTTGTAGATCGACTGGTAACACTGCCTATCGTTCATACATAAGATAGAACAGAGTGTAATTGGTACTCTTGTGTTTCATAATACGATAAGCAAATAGTACTGATGATACATAATTATCCCATTCATTTTCTTGGTCGTACACTAATTTAGCTAAACACTCTCCAATAGTACGATTAAATTTTTCTACCATACCATTAGTTTGAGGTCAGTAAAGTGACGTCAGCCGATATTTTGTTTGAAACTTTTGACATAATTGATCAACTACTTGATTCATAAAGGACATTCCTCAATCAGTTAATATCTCTTCAGGTACACCATGTCGACAAATAACCTCTTCATAAAGAAATTTAGCTACTGTTTCTACTTTGATATCCTTAATAGCTCTAGCTTCTGGCCATTTCGTAAAGTAGTCTATAGTGATAATGATGTATTTATTTCCATCCTTGGTAACAGGTAGTGGTCCTTTAATATCTAACCCTACTCTATGAAAGGGTGCTTTAACCAGAATAGTTGTAATGGTTCTTTCCTAATAGTTGGTCCTCGCCTTTGACAGTTATTACAATTTTTAATATATTTTCTAATATCTTCAAACATCTGCGGCCAATAATATCGATCTTTAGCTTTATGATAAACAGCTTCTACTTCTAAATGGGCTCCAGTCATATTTTTATGTAAATTAAAGAGAAGTACTTCCACTTGATCATGTATTATTACTCTTTTTAGTTTATCTTTTGTTAGTTTATATAATTGTGTGTTTTTAATTATGTAATGAGTTAATAATCATTGTATATCAATATCTTCATCTTCATCCTCAAATTCAAGTTCATCTGAAGTTACTTTGGCTTTTATGAATGTAAATCTTCCCAGATTTATATCTTGGATGCAGGTTATCAGTGTCATAGAAGTTTGCTTTTCTTGTTATACTGTTAATATACTTGTTTTAAAGTCAATTATAGCATTGACTTTTTGTAACCACGTATTTTCCAGGATAACATTGTACCCTGTAGCATTAGTTACTAACATATTTTCGTTGATTTCTATTCTATTGACTTCTATTGGCATCCCTTTTATTATTCCCATTGGTATCATGCTATTACCATCTACTCCCATAATTTTGATTTTTGCAGGTTTGTCAATAATTTTGTTAATCTGTTTCAAGAATCATTGGGTGATGATACTTCCTATAGATCCAGTATCAATTATAGCATTTACATCATATCCATTTATTTTAGCTTCGATATATAGGGCATCCTTGATTGATTCATCCTGACTTATGTAAGTAACAACTAAAGATGGAGTTGTAATTAATTTTAAAATTTTTAACTCATTGAGTTGCAACTATTTATACATTTTTATATTAAAATAAATTTTGCAAGGAGTTGCAACCAGTTGCAACCCAAGTTGCAACTTACCGAGTTGCAACTTCTTAATTACAGTACCATCTTTAGTAACAACAGTCTGTTCCTTTAATTTTGTCACAAATAATTCCCCGAATTTATTATTTGTTGGTATTAATTCATTTAATCCAGCTATTTGTAAGTATTCATTGAATTCAAAGTGTTGCCATTCACCATGTTTGGTTGGTTTCGTATATTTTAGTAAATCATCCTTCAACTTAATTTTATATACATCACAATTATAAGTGGATTATTTAAAATGTATTCCAAGCGATTTTTATTTAGCTTTATTCCTGTTTCTTCATCAATCTCTCTTATCATTGCTGTTATTGACGATTCTCCCATTTCTATTTTTCCGCAGACTGTTTGCTACAAATTATACATTTTCTTTTTGGGATCTATCCTTTTTGATAGATGAATTTCTCTGTTATCATATAAAATTCCTAATACATATTTAGGCCTTTTCTGTATAGTGAGTTCTCCTTATTTTTAGAAATCAACTGTTATAATAGGCCAGTTTTTATCAAAGATTCTTTCTTCTATTACTGGGTCTTTCCATTTGACTTCCTTACAATTATATCTTGCGGTTATTCCTTGGGCTATCTTTTTACAGTTAATACATATTATGTGACTATGGTGGTCATATTCTTCGCAACTAGAGTGATCATATTTGTTTTCATATGATCCTTCAAAATGTATTCTCAACTCTATTCCTTTACAAACATATAGTATCCCTATTAAATTAGTTTCTTCAATCAGTGTTTCGTATTGAATATTTTCTTCTTCCAGTTTTAGGGACTTTGGTTTGTTCGCACACTCACACTGATAGGTGCGATCTCTAGTTTAAATTTTGCTGATTATTATTGAAATTATTATGATTATTATGGTAATTCCTATTATCATTGTTATTATTACTCCAATGATCTCTGCTATTACTATAGTTATTATTATTGTTGTTATTCCAATGGTCTCTACTATTGCTGCGGTTATAATTTCCATTATTTCCATTATTAGTATTGTTGTTGTAGACATTTCGACCTCGATTATTATTGTTATTATTGCTATTGCTTCTGCAGTCACGTGCGAAGTGTCCTTTACGTCTACAGTTAAAACATTTATTATTAGATTGATTACTGTTATCACAACTACCTCGATAATCCCTAGCAAAATACTTAATTTTCCCATAATTAAAATATTGTTAAGGTTGTTGTCGTTGTGATTGTTGATGTTGCTACTACTGTTGTTGCTGTTGTTATTGTTGTTATCGTTGTGATTGTTGATGTTGCTACTGCTGTTGTTGCTGTTGTTATTATTGTTGTCTGATATTAGCCATTATGGCTTGTAATCCCTCATTCAACTTTTGACTGATATTACTTTCTATATCAGGTTATTGAACAACATAGGAGTTAGTTTGCATTGCAATGTTTGTTTGTGCTGAGACCATTCCTCCTTGCAACAGTTGCATATAATTTGACATCAGGGAATATGCGAATAATTCCATTTCTATTGAATAGGCAGATTCTACTGCTTTGGCTTTTTCAATTATTTGATCTACTGTTGTAGGCATAGCAGTTTGTACTGGAACCATAAATTCAGATCGTAACCCCTCAATAAATTCTGCAACTAGATCCATTTCAGCATGTCGATATCGTGGGTTTACTCATTTCCATAGTTCTTCCATGGCTGCTGCATATTCTTCAATTATTTCTCCTGCTTTTTATTTTTGATGTCTCAGTTGGTGTTTCCACTGATTCTGCCTAAAGGCGTTGCAAAAGTATTGTTGAAATAGTGGTACAAATGAAGTACCAGGATTTGTTCTGCTATTCCAATAGGTAATATTTTAATGTTGAAACTATGTCAGTGCAGTTCCTGTTAGATGACTAGGAACTATTTCTATCATTCTAGTTGTGCAAATTCTATTTGTTCTACATGCTCGTTTGAAAGCTTCCAGCCATTCTACAGGGTCTTGGTTTTCTCCTCTGAACATTAGCAGATCTACCAGCCATTGTTCTCTAGTTTGTTGTCCTTGTAATCATCCTGTTAATCCTTGTAGAACTTGGAGATATGCATTATCTTGTACCGATGGTAGGGGTACTGGTTGCATAGGTTGAGGCCATACAAATGGTTGTGACGTAACAGGTGGTTGTATTGGTTGAGGCCATACAAATGCTTGTGATACTGGTTGTTGTGTTAGTTGAGGCTATACAAATGCTTGTAATGTGACAGGTGGTTGATTTATCGTAGAGGACGACTGAGCAGACAGTTGTGCTACTGAGATGATTTGAGTTGTACCTACCATATTTTGTCCAATAGTTGTAACATTTCTCATATTACTTTGAGTATGTACGAATGGTTGAAATTGGTTAAAACTGGTTCTTGCCATTGGAATTGGGTTAAGTAGTGGGGTTAACTGGAGCAAGTGGATGAAATATACTATCATAAGAGGTTCATTGAGTTAGTGTAAAATTATATATGCTTGGATTTGACACAAAGGTATTGTTTGAAGTTGGTCCATTATTGGTACTTAAATTTTCTGTCTGTTGGTTTGACGAATTATTACTTCCACTAGATCCTACTATAGTGGGTTGACTGTTTGGATTAGATGTACTATTTGGTTGAGAATTTGACCTTGTGATGTTAGAGGATCTTTCTTCTGTATTTAGATTGAATGAGACTTGTTGACGTATTCTATTTGGCATTCTTCTGCTTTCAATTACATTTGTGTTATTGAAGAAGGAATCCCCTTGCAGATTCTCGTCATCATCATTATAGAACCCATAACTTATATCTCGTGGAGTGAAGATCTCTTCTTCATCATCTTCATCATACCATGAAAAAGTATTGCTTATCTATGGGTTCGTTAGCATTAGCGATTGGTTTAATATAGTCGGCAGTGCATTATTTGGGAAGTTATCATTACTTCCTCTTACTATTATTATGTTATCCTGTCCTCTGCTCATCGTACTTTCAGAACTCGAATTTGTACTAATACTAATAGTTGGGCTGCTACTATTGATACTTTCAGTTTTCCAAGATTGGAACTGATTAGTCTGTATTCAGGCTTGATATAGATTATCTGCAATTTCGTCAAATGACTTTTTCAATAAGTTATCCTTATATCTGATTGTAGTAATAATTTTTCTTAATAGGTATTTTAGTAACTGTTTCTTTTCTGTGTAATTTTCCTTACTTTCTTGTGCTCTTATAAAATATGCTACAGTAAAAGTTGTATATGATTTAGCGTCATACTTAGGCGTAATCTACAAGAACCAAAAGTTATCAAATGCTGGTAATTTTCCTGACTGAGTTTTGTAATCTGGGTGACACTGTGGACAAGACTGATCTAGGTGACTGATAAATCTAGTTTTATGGTTATGTGCTGTGATATGTTGTTGAATGGTCTGTAAATATTCCTTTTTAGTGATATGTTCTGTGTTGAAATCCTCCAATGTGCTTAAGATTCATTGTTAAAATAATCATCACTGAATACTAGTTCATACCACATGACTTGAATTTTATGAAAAATGATAAAGTATTTTAAACTGTCAATATTATTTTGTAATCTTTTGAGACTATTAATTAGAATATCTTGCTTTTCCTCTAATAATCTGTATTGGTTCCTGATTTCATTAATTCGCAGTTGCAATTGAAGAAGAATGAGTCCTACTGCTACTTTAAGTTATTTAACTGCTTTGTGCATGTGATGTACCTTTTGTCGGATTGGTTTTATGTTTCACCCAACCCGCACTAAATTGTTATCTTATGATTCTAACGACTGAAAATTAGTATTGACATAAGATTAACAAAGGATTTAGCTTTAAGACTTTGTAATATGATTTATGAAGAACTTCTAAAGGTTTATATGATCAATGTATATATTTTAAATATTAAGATATAATTTATGGGTTAAGTAATTTAGAATTTTTATTAAAGAAAAGAATTATTACAAATGTATTTGGTTGCATACAAATGTTTTAGTAATTATCTTGTTAACGATAAAACTAAGTAAATTCTTTGTCATTTATGAAGTTCTAAAGCTACCCTATTTATAAGAAATTTGATAATATAAATAAATAAAATAAAGAAATATAAGATATGTAATTGATTATTAATGTTAATTAATTATTAATGAAAAAGAAGGTTCTAGCGTCTTCTAGGTCTTCGCATAACTTTACTTCTAAGATATCTTTCATTTCTCAGATATCTGGCATATATGATATTTCTGGCATATTACGCATAACTGGCGTATTTCACAGATCTGCCAGTACAGGCAGATATAGCAGATACTTGGCATAGTAGATCAGGTGATTTATTCTATCGTCGTATGATTTGCAGTTAACTCTTCTATTACAATATTATTTAAATTTTTAAAAAAATAAATTCATAAATATTCAAAAAAAACTAATAAGTAAAAATAATGTAATAAATTGAAAAGTATTTTTATAAAAAGCATTTATATTATTATATACATATAAAATAAAAATAATTTATTTATTATTTTAAGAATAAATAATATATATATTATTATCTATATTACTTTTATTATAAAATAAAAATATTCAAATATTAATTTATTTGTAAGACAAAAAAATTTAAATTTTTATATTAAAATTTAATTGATTAATTTTTAGTTATAAACAGTATAAAAAATTTAGCTTAATAATTAAAAATTTTACATTTTCTTCTTTTTACTAATCATCTTTCATATATATATATATATTTAAATAATAAATTATTAAAAAAAACAATTTAAACAATATAAAGAAACATAAATTTATAAAGTAAAGAACCTGAAAAATTAAAAAATTAATTAAAAATTAAAAATTAAAAAATAAATAATAAATATATATATATAAAAATTAAATTAGTAAATTGAACTTGGAATTAAAATTATTAATTACAAAATTTTAAAAAGTTACTGTAAAGCTAAGTTTAAAAAATTAAAGCGTTTAAATATTAAATTTTTAAAGAAATCAATAATTTTACTGCTTTTGATTAAATATTGATATTTGTTCCTTATTTTGTAAATTATATCTTTATTCAAAACAAATTTTACTGATTTTAAATTTTTAAAAATAAATACTTTTTTTTTGATGAAATATTCGATCTATCACCCACACACTAATATAAACATTCCCGCTAATTTAATTTCGAAATTATGTGTATTATTTTAATTTGGGAAATCCTTCCTTGAATTAAAGGGGAAAAAGTTATATATATATTATTATTTTTATTATTATTATTCACATTCAATAATACACAGAGAGAAATCTCAAAAAAAAAAAAAAAAAAAAAAAAATCAAAATCAAAATCAAAAAAAAATTACAGAAGAAAAAAATTGTCAACTAATGAATAATATTATTCAATATAAATATCGTCCAACTTATTGAAATATATTTTTTTTTAATAAATTCCAAATCAAAGTTACTATAAAATATAATTTAACCCCAACCAATTAATAAAATTAAGATCTAATACGATTTTTTTGTTGATATAAAATAGAATTTCTGTTTGAAGGGATTAAGAGTTCAGAAGAAAGCCGTTTATTCATGTTAATATTTGTGTGCGAGCCATAACCACCGACCGGAATTTGTAATTTTGGAGAACTAGGTTTACTACAATTTCCGCTTCCTTCATGTCTGTGGCGATTGGTTGATTTATTGCTGCTACCATTACTAACGTTAGAACCTTTACTCTTTGTTGATGATGCACCCAAATCATTCATCAAATTTACATGACGAAGATCTTCAGATAAAGCTAACAAAGTATCTTTTGCCCAATAACCAGAATCCTGACGAGGATTTGGAGACACACGTCCATGCGGGATTGGAGATTCAATTAACATTGAATCCGTTCGTTTTCTCGGTACAAATTCGCTATTACTTCTCTTTCTTGGTTGATGAAAATCAGGTTTAGGTGCGTGTATATCGCCAGGAACAAAAGCCGATATAGGGCGACGGCGACTTTGTGTTTTGTTAATAGGTTCAACTACAAGTGACATTCTATGACTCGCCACAAGTGGGCTTGAGTTGTATTGATTCATATTATACATTGAAGTTCTTTTTGTACGTGGAGAATGAGAACGCGTTGGAGATTGATTTGGTGAAGATCCTTCAGGCGATCCTGACACTGAAATGAAAAATGAAGATTAAAATTTGTTGAACAGCGAAATTTTTTTTTAAAAAAAAGAGGCATAGAGGAGAAAAAAATTTTTAATTACCATGTTCAAGCCAGGCTTCAATCCTTCCGTTATTATTTTTCCCCGTTGTAATTCGAGGAGGAGGGGCCACTTTAATTTTGGGAGTAGATTTTAAGGCAAGTGGAGTATCATCATCTTCGCTTGAAGAATCATCATCATCATCATGCTCAGAACCGGATTCATCGGAAGAATCACCTTCTTCATCAACTTTTTCAAGAATTATAGATTGACTGGCAACGCTCTTAATCGGAGGTAATGTTGGAGGAGAATCCGAACCATCAGATGATGATGAACTCGACTTTTTAATTTTACTTGATTTCTGTGATTTAGTTTTAGGAGAGTTGACGGAAGATTCACTTTCCTCATCATTCTCATCAGGAGTAAATGATTTATTTTGTTTATAAAACGAAGTAGGTCGTGAATTAGCGGTATTAATGGTATAAGTTGAAATTGGACGAGGTGAAGATACAATTAATGAATTCGGTCGAGAATTTCCAGATCTCAATTTTCCATTAGCATCTAATTACGTGTAAAATTTTTTATGATTAATAATCAGATATATGTATTTTTTTATATGCATACTAAGTTGTTACATAATGACAATGGAGGCAGAGGATACTAAACTGCGTTAAAGTAACGAGCTTGTGTAACGCATATGATTATAAAACAACGCTTACCAGGAAGGGTTTTGTTTTGTTGTAGTATCATAGAAGTTCTATGACTTGATGAGGTGGAAAAAGGATTAGCATTATGTAAGTTATGCCTATTTTCCAACATTGATTGTCTCACGTCCAATAAGGTTTTACTACCGCTACCACGTCTTTCATCAGGTATTATTACACTATTCCTTGGACTTGAAGTAAAAGCCTGACTTTGACGCCGAACTTGTTGAGAGACCTGTTGTGGTGAATGTTTGACTTGGATTGGTGTGTTTGGTTGAGAAGAGTTTTCATCATGGAGTTCGTCATCATTTAAAATTGGAGGAATTAATAAACTCATTGGACGTGGTAGATGGAATTCATTTTTTGGAAGTTGTAGAGCTGAGGTTTGGTTACGCTGCCTCTGAAAGATGGCACTTTCTTCCGCACCATAAATATATTCGGGATCTTCCTTCAATGCTCTAGCTAGTTGTAATCTTGAAAACACAGCTGCGTCATCCGATATCGTGTCAACACTCATTTTTTATTTTATTTTGAAAAGAAAAAATTGAGAGAATAAATAAGAATGATGTAACGGAAAAAAAAATAAAGGTTGAGTTAATCAAAATTGAATGATTTTTTTATTTAATTCAAGGGATAAGATGAAAAGGATGTATTTATTTTGGAGAGGAAAAAAAAAAGGAAAACGGATAAAACGGATAAAAAAAGGTGATTTTAGTTTTATTTTTTTTATTTTTAGTGAAAATTTGTGTGTATTGTATATATATATATATATATGTATGTATGTATGTATGTTGTATTTATGGGCGGAAAGTAAGAATATAGAACCGATATTTGGGGCTGATTTGAAAAAAAAAAATTTCCTATGACGGAATGAACCTGACTTATAAAAATATAATATTTACAATAATAGAAGGTTGCATTCAAAGAAATATAAATATAAATATAAATATATTAAATATTTTATATTATATTATATAAATAAATAAATAATAATAATATAATAAAATGTTTTTTTTTCGATCGTTAAATGCTCGCTTTTAAAAGATTTGTTTGCAAAATGCTATGTAAAGGAAGGAAGTGTTCTATTTTATAGAAAGAAAAAAAAATTTAAAAAATCCTCTCTTGGCTCTGTTTATATTAGAAAATATCGATTGTGAAATTTGATTGTGTCGTTGTTTAGTACTTTTTTTTTGTTGAATAATAATTGGTTTTGCGAATAACGATAAAAAATAAACCATGTAAATATATGTATGTATGATATATTAACTGGAGAGTACAAACTAAAGGGCAAAGAAGCTCATATCTGGTGATATCGTCGTATTTGTTTAGAACTTTCTGAAAAAAAAAAGTTATTTTAAGAAATTTTTTTTTTATCAAAAAAAAAAAAATGGTTGGATGATTTTTATTTTTGTTGAATGGAAATATGAATAATATCGTTGTTTGAAGGGGGAAAAAAAAAATAAATTTTGAATTTATATATATAAACTTTTATATTTTTTTTTCTTTCTCGTGAAAGTGATCAACCAACTAATACATTTATGTTTATTTAAGCAATAATAAACTCTTTCAAATAATCTAATTTTAGTTCCGAAATTGTTTACGTCTATATATAGTTATATTTAGGTTCTGCATATTAACAATCAATTAATGTCGTAAGGACAAAAAATGCACCTATGAATGTTCCTTTTATAATTACCTACATGTAATCGATCCTTTACATGAAAATGTATGCCATCTTTAAAAGAATGGGTTCAATCATAATCATTCATAATAGATTCATTTCGCTTCAATCATCAACCTCTGGGGAAATCATGAAACGTTTGGTCCTCGTAGGAAGAAAGAAACCAGACAATTATAGTTAATGTTATTTTTTTTTAGATAACCAAATCTTTCATTTTACTTATTCAAAAAGCATTTATGGGCTGAACAATATAATCTCAAACTCTTTTTTCGAATTTCCATATGAAACTGATGAACTCACTATGCTTTACCAAAGCACATTCCTTTTTATTTATTATATTTTCCTTTTATTTAAATTCACCAATCATTTTCGGCACTCATAATTTATTTTATTAGAACTAGTTGATTTAGGAAATAACGTAAATCATTCATGCATGAGATGCATAATATAAACTTTAATTAAATATGAGTAACCTATTCTAGAATTTCACACCGAATTATGTACTGTATATGGATGATGTAATATGTAATCAAAGAAATAGAAATTATAACGTTTTAACGTTATAACGTGATGTGTTAATTTCATTTTACGGATTTATTTATTTTTTAATTTTTTTTCTTGAAACAACACTAAATCTTTTTTCTTTCCCCAAAAAAATCTCTTGACGTTAGTGCCATGTGACTCGTAAACAATAATCAATTTAATCAATTTTGTATCTCAAAAATAAAAAATAAACCTTAAATTGGACTCTTTGTAAGACAACTTATCTTTGAAATTTTCGATATCTATTCTTAAATCTAGTACTTTTATGCAACAAAACAAAGGGGTTTCATCATTTTAATTATATTACTCCTTTACTTTTATTTTAGTTAAAAAATATGTCAAATATGACAAATTCTGTGATACATTTATTTATCCTTTTATATAACATCATCAGTCCAAATAGATGTGTTTTAAAAACATTAATGTAGGGCTCGACTGCGCCAATCAATCTTAATTTCCAATTTCTCGGGTATATTTGCACAGACCCAATCGGGATCCCCTATTAAAGAAATTATATTCATTAAAGGAATCTGTCCGAAATGCTGATCTTCTCGGAATCATCTATTTCGGCCCTTCTGTTTTTGATCTCCCGGATATTTATTACTTTATTTGGTCTCATTTTAGAAATGCACATGATAAAAGAATTGCAATTTCCCCCCTCAGGAATATTTTAAAAATGGTTAATAAATTAAAGAAAACGCGTCATTTCATATATAAAAAAAAAATGTTTATAATTGTTCTTTGAACATGGACTCAGCCTTCTTCCTTGTTATCTTACTTTGATTAAAGTGTATGGTAACACCGTGTATTTGTGTTTATCTTTAATAAAAAGAAAGTTATCTCTGGAAAAATAAGTGAGGGGTGTACACGATGGTTTACAATCAAAATTCCAATGCACTACGACATTAACATAAACATGTGTTCTTTTCTAACAAATTGAAAACCAAAAGACTTTATTAACTTTATAATTTGTTTGTTCATACCTTTGATTTACTGTCGTTCAATTTAGTTAATTAAGTCAATTAGCGATCCCCATACTTTGTATCAAAAAAAAAATGAAATTGTGTTAAAAATGTCATGGCGTTCCTATAAATAGAATTCATCACGTGATAATTATTAATCTAAATAAACTAATATTATTATTATATATTCGAATTTTTTTTACCTTAAATAACAATATTTTGCAAATTATTTTTATTTATCAAATGGTAAAGAACTTTTTTATAATATATTTGATCTTAAAACTATTTATTATTAATAATTATTCAATAAAAAAGCTTCAAATAACATATAACTCATTTTAAAGAATTAGATTAAATATTTTATTTATAATATTATTAGTGGTATACCACTTGCCCTAGATTGTAGTATCACCATATAATCTGAATACCACCATATAATCTAAATATCACCATATAATCTGGATATCACTACATGGGGCCTTTGCAATAGAAAGAGGGGAAACAGCTGGAAAAATCAAAAGTAAGTTAATGTTAAATTTGAACATATTTCAGCATAAAAATCATATTTAGCATATAAAGTAAAATTAATTTTTCCCGGCAGTTTTCCCCCTTTCTATTGCAAAGGTCCCATATAATCTAAAAGATATAATCTAGTTACCACCATATAATCTAAATAATATAATCTAATTGTTTTCATTAGGTATCTATTTTATGCTCTAGATATTCCTTTTAACCTTTCTTGTTATTCATATTTTTTACCACCATATAATCTAACTACCACCCACTATTTAATCTAACTATCATCATATGATCTAAATATTACCATTTTCTTCTTGTTCCTAATCCATTTACATGTTAAATTTTATATTGCTAGTACTGGCTTTCCAGTCTTTTTTGAATATCCAGTTCTTTAGTGAGGATGCTGACCCTCTATGCCAGTTTGATTACCAGTTCTATATTGAGAATTTGTGCTTATTTGGTTACCTTTCAAGATACTGAAATGGTATAAAAAAAGGTGACAGGTAGCGCAGTAAATTCGTGATTAATTTTGGCTAACACTATATCATAATTTTAGCCAATTTTTTGAACATATGATTCAGAAATCCAGCTTGACGCTATAGCAGTGACCTGATAGTATTCTGGAATTGTTATGGAACTGGTGAGAAACTGGCAAGGAGTTAATGTACTTCTATTAGTTCATTAATTTTGAATCAGTTTTATACTAGCTTGGGTGTTAAGTTAAAGTTCTAGTCGAAATTATGGAATAGTACTGGCTGATATTATTGTAAATTTACTGCGCCTACTACACTTTTTTTCTAAAATGTGTGTTGTGAGAAAATATATATATTGTTAGAAGAGTTATCTGATAGTGCTCTCAGAGGTCTCAATGACAGGTGATTCTTTACGCATATATTATTAATTTTCTGCGTCTAAAGTTTTTGTGTTATTCTATGCATATATTATTAGAAAAATCATATGATAGTAATCCTAAAGGTCTCTGTATCAAGTGATACTCTATACATATATTATTAGAAAAATCATATGATAGTGATTCCAAAGGATCTGGCATCAGATAACATCCAGCACAGTGTCAATCCAAAGATATTCTATTAGTTCACCCAGCATGATTGCTGAATTATTGTATCCAAAAATCTGGCCAAAATTATCGTTAACTTACTGCACCTAAATTTTTGATATCATATGGCAGGCTCTAGTCTTTCCCTTTCCCATTACCTTTCCATAACTTTTAAGGAAAATTTGATAAATATTTGTGTGGTATTTGGGGTTTAGTTTAATAGATCAGTTGGTTAAAGAATTGGAAGTGCCAACTTTGTATCTCTTTTTGATATATCTTTATATTACGTGAAGGTTAATACCATACCCAAGTACATATCTAAAAAAGTGTAGCCTTCTTCCATTATTTTATATAAAGATACCGAAGAAGGCTACACTTTTCAGGATATATCAAGTTGTATTTCTGACATGTTTCCAGCCATATTTGAGCTAAAGGGAATATGTCATTTACCTGAATTTATACTAGTAATAGGGTAGCCAAATGTTAATATTTCTGAAAAAGTCTTCATATTATACTCAGATACATATCTAGAAAAAATAAGTCTTACGTGAAGACTATACCGTAGCTGAACACATATCTAGAAAGATAGAGCCTTCTTCCAATTTTTTATATATAAATTATGAAGAAGGCTTCACTTTCAGATACATATCTACTTGTCTTCCTTTTACGATTTGCTTACTAAGTTCGCCATCTAGGAAGAATAGTCTTCTTCCAATATTTTATATAATGATTACAAAGAAGACTTATCCTGACAT